TTCCAAATTTTTTCTCTCAATCCATATACTTTTTTTTAGTATAGATAGTATTTATTTACCTCATGCTATGCTGCAAAACCTAATTAATCACGAATTTCTAATATTATGTACTCTTGTCTCCTATTGTACCTTCCAAACATCCTTAAGCTATTTCTAGGACATTCAGCTCACATACAATGATTGCCACCAGCTTTCCCACTTGCCTCTTTGTATGTAATGCTTTATTAAATTCTGAAACAATTTCTCTTCTCCATATACACAGGGTGGCTCAAATCAAACATTTTAGAGTATCCTTCTGATCGTTAATCTGTTTTGATGGGAAAATGTGACTGAATATTTGTTGAGCCGGCCTGTATGTAATAGTAAGCAAAATTAAATTGAAATACTGTACACCGTTCTTCAGGCGCAAACAAATAATAATATTAGACGATCGTTTGGGGTCAAATAGTTGATTGAATTAGAGATCGTCCTTTTTCTGTTTATTTCGTTTTAATAAAGAGGAACAACATCAAGGCACTTGTATTTGTTGCCGTCGCTCCATCGTCGATAATAATAACAAAAAGAATAAGAAGACGACTTCGACGATAAATAAGAATAAGAATAAGAAGAGAATGCGATGAACAATAAAACGCTTACTCATCGATGAAATAAAGGCGTTCTTCGTGTGCGTTTAATTATGATTGCGCATATTTTTCTGTACGCCCACGACAAAGCCTTATCCGAGGGTGTTAGATATAAGCGGAAGCGCAGGTGAAGTTTGAAAAATACGTTTATGCATACACAGTATGCACGTCTCGTCACCGTAATAATGCAAATGATTGAAAAATTGTCGCTGTGAGGTCCAAATACAACATAAAGGATAATGAAAACATTGGAGGTGTTTAGCTTCCACTGGCTTAATCTTCTGGAATGCTTTCACTTCGTATTGTCAGGATACTTTTCAAAATGTTTTGGAAATCTGATTTGATTTTGAAATATATTATACAACTTCGATTACCTACGTTATCATAAAAGGATCATTACGCTATTGAAGCTCTCATACCGGAAGCATTCAATTATCAATTATTAAATGATTTCTGTTTTTATAAAATTGACTTTTGATAGACTCTTTACACGAAACACTTAGCTAGTAGCACATTTTTAAATGTTTTTAGGTTGTTTTGTTTATTGAATGTTATTCACTATAGTTATAACCTAATTCAACAGAACTTCTGTTTTTTCCTAATGTTCAACTCGTTATCATACAAATCATTAACCACTTGTTGTGGTAAATAATTATCAAGACAATGTTCTTCCTTATAATAATAGTAATCTAAACATAGATCAAACATTGTGTGTACATAATTAGGAAAACTTTTGTGGGCAATGTTGTGGAAAAATTAATTTGTACCTACAATTGTTCAGTACAATACAGCCATGCTTGTGTTCACTATCTCATAGTTTCGGAACTGGAGCGTCTAATAAGTTGTATGTAAGTGAACATGAACCGGATGTTGGTAAATAATTTAAATGGAGATAATTTGCATTTTCTCTAACATGCAATTATTCTTATTCTCTACTCTCAATTAAAGAGAATCGGCTAATTTTTTTAATATATTGTATTGAATGTTGATAAGTATCTTGTGCAGTTCTCTGATAAGAAAAAGCTAACAGCTAAGTACCAGGTTCATGTTCTGAACGAAGGAACTGCCGTCGGAAAACGAATGGTAACTTCCAATGTTTCTAACAAAGCTATAGTTTTAAAACATCATTTTCCAAATCTTCATTTTGTTTTCCCAAAATTTCATCTTATCGTATGTAACATCAAGGAATAGACAACCTTTACAATGAGATTTAAGTATCTTTTGAAGGAAGGAATAAAGGAAGAACAAAAGAAAAGTCCAAGGGAAAACCAATTCAAGAAATTAACCATTGTAACAACTTGAAAAATATAAGCAGTAAAGTACAAATACTTTACCACTTGTATGATTCGAGCAATAACATCTGAGCTGGATACTACAACAATATTTCGTACAAAAGGAAACCTCCACCAGGAACCAAAAGAACCACTTACCAGTATGCGTCCTTTTGTGGATTTTGAGGTTCTCGCTCCTCGCAAAGACCTTCCCACAACCGGGAAAAGGGCACGGGAAAGGCTTTTCTCCTGTATGCACCCTAATGTGGTTAACTAGCTTGTACTTTGCTTTGAACGGTCTTCCATTCCTCGAACAATTTTGCCAAAAGCACGCGTGTGTCGTGCACTCTGGTCCACCCACGTGTTCGACCGTCAGATGCGTGACAATCTCATGCATGCTCGTGAAATGTTTACCGCATGTCTTTCTCGGCGGCGGTTGATCAGGATCCACCCAGAGACATTGCATCTCTTGTTTGATGGGCTGTCGCATGTATCTAAAGAAGGCGCCGTGTACATTCGACGGATGATGCGGCATTCCCATGTGATGATTAAGGTACTGATGGTGATGGTTTGGTTGTGCATATGCGTGATGAGGATCCGCCGTTCGCGAATATAACATTTGATGGTGTGGCCCGAGATGGTGATGCTGATGGGGCGTCATGTCCGCATGGGGATGGTGAAAAAGTACCGGATCCGCAGGAGCAGTTTGAGCCGTCGGAAAATCGTGATGGTCCCGGCGCAGAAGGAAATCTCGTGCGGCGTAACCAGCATGGGGATTTAGGTGACCCATATGCGAGTAGTTGGGTTGAAAGTGATGATTTTGGCCCGCGGGACCCACGTCAGGAGCCGTCATTGCAGCCGCCGGATTCTGATGGTGAGGCGATGGGATTGTTGCGCCTCCACCAGCATGATGACTTGGGCTCATCTTCAATCCATAGGTGGCCAAATGATGATGACTCGAGTCCATAAATGCATTTATCATTCTGCCGTTGTCTTCTTGCTTCACATCAAAATACATTTATGTTGTCAACCAGTTCATCAATAGTATTACGAGAAAAACCTGTCCTTTCACAAAAACTAAGCACTATCTTACGATAAGACTTATCCTTTGACCTAACAATGTTGTACTGACGATTGCCGCCTGATGGATTCCATTCTAAAGGCAATTTGGACCTTTGGAAGAAGCAAAAAAAGAAAGAAGTCTACTGTTGGTTTAACTTAACTTAAGCGTCATATTTGTTCCTTTCAATGACCAGTTCTTTAAAAGGACCACTTCCACTTCACAATTTGATAAGTCCGGATGACCGGCTCCACTATCAGTTCCTTTTTTCAAAACTACTAAGAATATCGCACAATTGCCAAATTCAAATCCGATTTCACAACCTATTTTACGATTATAAGGTAATAGACAAATTCCCGATGAGGTATCGTTTTGTGACTCGAAGAAGTTGTTGAAGGATAACACCACAGGATACCCTCTGTTCCCGGAGTTCGCAGCTGGACTGATCGGCGGATCGGCCCCAGTGAGCCATGCTTGGAATGCGTCTGCGGGGCGGGATATCGGCAAAGCTTATTGGCTAACAGGGGAACCCCTGCCATTGGCGCTCTGGGTCCTGGTGCTCCGCCACTGCGTCCGTTGGTTACTGTGTCGCCAATCGCACCAGGAGGTGGTTCTACCAGGATAACGTGGTGCTAAGTTCCACTTGTTGAGCGCACTGAAGAAGCGGTACTATTACATCAGTAGTCCTAATTACGGTCCACGTTGTTCATAATTATTATTATTACTGTTTCAATAATAACTGGCTGTTGGCATATCCTTGAATAATTGCCCACAGTGAATCGTAGGTAATCCAAAGACAATTACTACTGATCAAACCACTTTGAAAGTGCAAGTGGTATTATCTATAAATACTTGCAACATCAATTTGTTTTTCTGAAATAAGAAAAGTTTACATTTTGATCGTATTTCATAATTATCCTAGGAAAAATGAAAGATAAATGCGTTCTTTTCCATTTTGCTGCGATCCCTTTTGAAATTTTCTGAATGGAATCAGAATCTCATTTGGAATCTAAATTTTACGTAACTACCTCTGCAAGACCTTATTAAGGGTGGTTCTTATATGTATCTTTTTTTATGTCAGAAAACCATTGGATTGTTTTTTATCTATTTTTATTTCATGATTTTGTCCCTAGTAGTCCAATCTGGTATAGGTATCTACCTGTATTAATTAGTGTTACTTTCTTTTTGATGCTTTCTTTCATTCCTGTAATATTTTCGATACGTTATGGGCACTTATCATTATTATTGCTTACCCACACTTGCTTCCGAAATGTGCACAATAAATTCTGGAAAAAATAAACAGCAATTTAGGTTCGAAAACGATTCCCGTCTCGACGAGCGGGTGGGCAGGCATTGGCTGCAAGGCCTGGGCAGGCAGGCCAGGCCGTGATTCAAAAATGTTGGTAATTATGATCCAGAAAACCCCGCTGTTTCGGAAATTGGTCGCCGTCAATCCTGCGCCAATTTATTGCTCCGCCTTGTTACAAATCCGCGTCTTAAGTAGTCAGATGGCTGCTGTTGGTTGTTATTTTGACGGTTACGTTTTACTGCTTATAACTATAAGAACCATATAGGTACTTATTATAATACATATGCCCACACGTTACTTTTAACTTTTTATCTTATGTAGGTATAGAGGAAATTTAATGTTGCGTGTAGCAATACCAAAAG